TATGTTTAATTATATCAACTAATTATACTTTAATTCTTGAGTGTCGGTACGTAAATTGGAGCAGGCTGGTAGGGGCCCCAGAGCATTACTTTGCCCAGGGGCCCATAATGCTATTAAGATGGCCCTGCCTTAAAGAATATGTAAAACCAACATTTCATATTCCTGATCTGTGCCTGCTGTACCATGTACTTGTATGAAAAATTATCCTGTTCTCTTTGCATTGCTACCTTTTTGTGAAATCCCTGGTGTGCCTGACAGTCCCTCTGCTTTCCTTTTAGAAACTGACCACACTAGGCAGGAGAGCACAGCGTGGTAAGTTTGCTGGCTGTGCTGGGAACTCAGTGTGCTCTCCAATGATCAGACTTGTCTTGACATGCTTCCCCACCACACAGCCATTCATTGGGAGGACCAGCGTGCTGTTGTTTCTCCTCCCTCAGCTCTCTGAGCTCCCTATGCAGTTGAGAACAGAGGGAATGTTGTCACTTATTAATAAAAAAGGAAAAAAGGGTATTTGTAATGTTTTTATATCTACACACGATTTTTTTTGCCTTTCATTTCTGTTTTAAACTGAATGTGTTGTTTTACAAAGTGAGGGTTCACATACGCTGTAACTGCATAGATTACTTTTTGGAAAAGGTGAATTTACCCTTTAGGCTCCATGCACATTAGCGCTTTTTTTAAGCTCAAACTACGCTGGATAAACAAATGCTGGTAATAGCGTTTTTTTAGTAGTGTTTAGAAGCGTTTAGGAGCGTTAGTGTTTTATTAGCATTTTTACAGTACATTTAGAGGGAAAAAAAGATAGAAATAAGCTGTTAGTAGCATTATAGTAGTGTTTTTTTTTAATTGGAAAAACGCTCCAAAAAAATCTAGAAATTTTTTTTTTCTGCTAGTAGCCTAAAGTAGTGTGCATGGACACAGAGAATAACAGTGCCTGCATAGGTTTCCTCCGGGTACTCAGGTTTCCTCCGGGTACTCCGGTTTCCTCCCACACTTCAAAGACATGCTGGTAGGTTAAATGGCTCCTGTCTCAATTGTCCCTAGTATGTGTATGTATGAATGTGAGTTAGGGACCTTAGATTGTACACCCCTTGAGGGTTAGGGACTGATGTGAATGTACAATATATATGTAAAACACTGTGTAAATTGATGGCAATATGTAAGTTGGCAGCACAGTGGCTAAATGGTTAGCACTTCTGCCTAGCAGTACTAGGGTCATCGGTTCAAATCCCAAACACAGCACCACCTGCCTAAAGTTTGCATGTTCTCCTTGTGCATGTGTGGGTTTCCTCTGGGAACTCCAGTTTCCTCTCACACTCCAAAGACATGCTGGTAGGTTCATTGGCTCCTGTCTAAATTGTCCCTAGTATGGGACAATAGGTGACAGGGGCGGACTGACCATTTGGAAACTCGGGCACTGCCCAAGGGCCTGGGGTCAGTAGGAGGCCCCATGAGATGCCCCTGGTACCTTTTTCATAGGCTTTTTTGAGTTTGGGCAAGGACACGGGCCCCATGATCCTCTATTGCCTGGGGGCCCCATGAGTTGTCGGTCCGCCCCTGGGTAGGGACTGATGTGAATGTACAATATATATGTAAAGCGCTGTGTAAATTGACAGCGATATGTAAGTACCTGAAATAAATAAAATAACACTGTTTAGCTTCTAGGAGCTTATAAAAGTGCTAGTGTGCATGGAGACTTAAACTGAAAAGGCAACCCTATGGGGGTATACACATGCCGAGACAAAATGTTACCCCCCCCCCCCCCTTGTCACATTCACCAGTTCACACCACCACCGAACATGACTTATTCAAGTGAACAGAGCCATGCCACAAAAGCGAGCCAAATGCTAGGCTTTAAGCGGCAGCGCAGTATTCTCAGTAGAAAAAAAAAACAATTCCTCTGTAAAAAAAAAAAAAAAAGGCATTCAGAAAGTGGCAGTATCTCCTCCTGAACATCTGTCAGCCAACCTTGCCGCTGTGTGAGAAGCAATCCAATGTGAATCGCTTTTCACAGATGTGTAAATGAGCCTGTCTATGTAAACTCTGACAATACATTTGTACTATCTGCTTCCTTTTTGTTTGCTAGATATACCATTGGGCAGCACAGTGGTTAGCACTTCCGCCTGGCAGCACTAGGGTCATCGGTTTGAGGGCCAGTTCACACTATAGAAACGCAGTTCAGATGCATTTTGAATGCGCGTTTTTGATGCATATTTAGCACTTTCCAGTGCGTTTTTTCCCCTATCTTTTTCTTCAATGTAAATAGGGACATATGCATTCCAGTGCATTTTTTTTTATGTGTTTTGCCGTGTTTCAGTACAGTTCTGTGCAGAAAAAAATGCAGCATGTTCTACTTTTTTTTCTGCACCCAGAACGCACTGGCACTGCAAGCACTGATGTGAACTTTGACATTGATAGCCATATAACCTACTTTCTGTGCAACTGAAACGCATGTAGTGTGAACTGGCCCTGAATCCCAACCACGGCACCACCTGCCTGGAGTTTGCATTTTCTCCCTGTGCCTGCGTGGGGTTCCTCTCACACTCCAAAGACATGCTGTTAGGTTGTCTTCTTTATAAGTCTCTGGTCACACCTATGCAGTTTGCTTTTTGTCCATTTTGCAGTGCTTTTCGCAGTTCGTTTTGCATTTCTCTACACGCGTTTCTACCGTGTTTTGTTCAGCTTTTTTTTTTTTTTAATTGTTAAACCAGAATGTTTTTTGTTGCTGGGCAGAATAAAAATGCAAAACGCAAACACGGCAAAAACTGGTACTGTGACAGATGTGGATAATGGGCACTGTGACAGATGTGGATCACTGGGACTGTGACTGATGTGGATAATGGGCACTGTGACAGAAGTGGATCACTGGTAATGTGACAGATGTGGATCAGGGGTACGGTGACTGATGTGGTTCATGGGCACTGTGAGAGATGTGGATCACGGGTACTGTGAGAGATGTGGATCACGGGCACTGTGACAGATGTGGATCACTGGTACTGTGACAGATGTGGATAACGAGTACTGTGACAGATGTGGATCACTGGTACTGTGACAGATGTGGATCACTGGTACTGTGACAGATGTGGATCACTGGTAATGTGACAGATGTGGATCAGGGGTACGGTGACTGATGTGGCTCATGGGCACTGTGAGAGATGTGGATCACGGGTACTGTGACAGATGTGGATCACATGTATGGTGACAGATGTGGCTCATGGGTACTGTGAGAGATGTGGATCACGGTGATAGATGTGGATCACGGGTATTGTGACAGATGTGGATCACGGGTACTATGACAGATGTGGATCACTGGCACAGTTGTGGATCACTGCACTGGGACAGATCTGGATCACTGGTACTGTGACAGATGTGGATCACAGATGATCCACATTGTCACAGTACCCGTGATCCACATGCGTTACCATACCCGTGATCCACATCTGTCACAGTACCAGTGATCCACATCTGTCCCAGTACCAGTGATCCACATCTGTCACAGTACCAATGATCCACATCTGTCCCAGTACCAGTGATCCACATCTGTCACAGTAACAGTGATTCACATCTGTCACAGTGCCCGTTATCCACATCTGTCACAGTATCAGTGATCCACATCTGTCACAGTACTCGTTATCCACATCTGTCACAGTACCAGAGATCCACATCGGTTACCGTACCCGTGACCCACATCTGTCACAGTACCAGTGATCCACATCTGTCCCAGTACCAGTGATCCACATCTGCCCCAGTACCAGTGATCCACATCTGTCACAGTAACAGTGATTCGCATCTGTCACAGTGCCCGTTATCCACATCTGTCACAGTATCAGTGATCCACATCTGTCACAGTACCAGTGATCCACTTCTGCCCCAGTACCAATGATCCACATCTGTCCCAGTACCAGTGATCCACATCTGTCACAGTAGCAGTGATTCACATCTGTCACAGTACTCGTTATCCACATCTGTCACAGTACCAGTGATCCACATCTGTCACAGTACCAGTGATCCACATCTGTCACAGTGCCCATTATCCACATCTGTCACAGTACCATTGATCCACATCTGTCCCAGTACCAGTGACAGATACTGGTACTGTGACAGGGTGATGTGTGGGCGATGTGCTTCTGTGTACTCGCTGATCGGCTCTGTTTCTCCTCACTCACCGGCTCTGCGCGAGGAGAGGCAGAGCAGTTCAATGGCGGCTTTGTTGACATCACATGATGGCTGTCATGTGATCAGAAGGGCCAATCAGAGGGCCTTTCTGCCGAGTAGTGTTGTGTCCAAGGGACACAGACACACAGAGAGCACGCAGCTTCGTGGCCATGAAGCCACGTTTGTGCGCATGTTCTGAAGGACGTTCCTGAACATTCACTCAGAACGACGGAGCTCCCACCTGGCCATTTATGTGCAGTGGCCGGGTGGGAAGCTGTTAAAAAAAGTCCCTGAGGCTCCGTCTACACCTATGCAGTTTGTTTTTTTGTCCCTTTGGTAGTGCTTTTCAGAGTTCTTTTTGCTTTTTTTTACACACGTTTTTGATGCGTTTTGCATTTTTTTGCAGTGTTTGTGTTTTTGAGAGTTTTAGTCCCCTTGCACACTGAATGTTTTTACGTCGGCTGTTTTTGGCTTTTGGCATTTTTTTCTTAGCCAGTAAACCCCCCAGCATGTTATCCTATGTGTCCATGCACACATAGACTGTAATCAGAGTTTTTTTGGCTGGGACATTTATTGGCTGGAAAAAACCTCAGGACTAATGGGTTTCTAGAGGAGTTTTTTAGCTGTAAAAAAGCTCTAATGCTGAAAAACATGGCAAAATGTGGTAAAACGCTGCAAAACGGCGTTTTGTGGACTTTTTAAACTTTTTTTGACCAAATACAAAAAAAAATTTTTGGGTACAAAAACACTAAAAATGGAAAAACGTGGGAAAATGCCACTAAACTCTAATGCGAAAACGCTAAAAAAAAGCTGAAAAACTCAAATTTTTAACGTGACTACACAGCTAACGTTACCAGTGTTATCAAAACGTTCCGTGTGTATGGAGCCTTATTTGCCAAAAAAATAAAAAAAATTTTTGGGTCAACAAAATGTCTAAAAACGCTGGTTTGCTGCGATTTACTGTGTTTTGCTGCGTTTTTCAGCATTAGATCGTTTTTACAGCTAATAAACTCCTCTAGAATCCCACTAGTTGTGGATTTTTTTCAAGCCAAAAAAAATTGATTGCAGTCTATGTGTGTGTGGACACATAGGATAACATGCTGGGGGGTTTACTGGCTGTAGAAAAAAATGCCAAAAGCCAAAAACAGTTGCTGTAAAAACGTCCCGTCTGCATGAGGACTTACAGATCTTCTCTAAATCCTGAAGGTTTCTTGGCTGTCGCTTGGCAACTCGAAGTTTTAGCTCCTCCATACATTTTCTATAGAATTAAGGTCTGGAGACTGGCTAGGCAACTCCATGACCTTAATGTGATTTTTCTTGAGCCACTCCTTTGTTGCCTTGGTGGTATGTTTTGGGTCTTTGTCATGCTGGAAGACCCATCCACGACCCATCTTCAGTGTTCTGGCTGAGGGAAGAAGGTTCTCATCCAAGATTGTACAATACATGGCCCCATCCATTGGCCCCTTAATGCGGCAAAGTAGGCCTGTACCTCTAGCAGGGAAACAGCCCCAATGTATAATGTTTCCACCTCCGTGCTTGACTGTAGGGATGGCGTTCTTGGGGTCATAGTCAGAATTTTTCTTCCTCCAAACACGACAAGATGAGTTAATACCAAAGAGCTCAATTTTGGTCTCATCTGACCACAGCACTTTCTCCCAATCCTTCTCTGAATCATTTAGATGTTCATTGGCAAACTTCAGATGGGCCTGTGCATGTGCCTTCTTGAGGAGGGGGACATTGCGGGCACTGCAGGATTTCAATCCATGGCGGCGTATTGTGTTACCAATGGTTTGTTTGGTGACTGTGGTCCCAACTGCCTTGAGATCATTCACAAGCTCCTCCTGTGTAGTTCTGGGCTGATCCCTCACTTTTCTCATGATCATCCTTACCCCATGAATCTTGCATGGACCTCCAGACCGAGGGCGATTGATGGTTATTTTGTATTTCTTCCATTTGAGAATAATCGCTCCAACAGTTGTCTCCTTCTCACCAAGTTTCTTGCTGATGGTCTTGTAGCCCATTCCAGCCTTGTGAAGGTCTACAATCTTGTCCCTGACGTCCTATGGCAGCTCTTTGGTCATTTGCCCATGGTGGTGATGGTGTTGGTGATGATGGTGTTGCTGATGATAATGGTGATGATGGTGTTGGCGATGATGGTGGTGATGGTGATGATGGTGTTGGTGATGATGATGGTGATGATGGTGTTGGCGATGATGGTGGTGATGATGATGGTGGTGTTGGTGATGATGGTGGCGATGATGGTGATGATGATGATGGTGGTGTTTGTGAGGTGGTGTTGGTGATGATGGAGATGATGATGATGGTGTTGGTGATGATGTTGGTGATGATGGTGTTGGTGATGATGGTGGTGTTGGTGATGGTGGTGTTGGTGATGATGGTGTTGGTGCTGATGGTGATGATGGTGGTTTTGGTGATGGTGGTGATGATGATGATGGTGTTGGTGATGATGGTGTTGGTGATGATGGTGGTGATGATGGTGTTGGTGATGATGGTGGTGATGATGATGATGGTGTTGGTGCTGATGGTGATGATGGTGGTGTTGGTGATGATGATGTTGGTGTTGGTGATGATGGTGGTGTTGGTGATGATGGTGGTGATGATGATGATGGTATTGGTGATGATGATGGAGTTGGTGATGATGGTGTTGGTGATGGTGGTGTTGGTGATGGTGGTGTTGGTGATGATGATGGTGTTGGTGATGATGGTGGTGATGGGGTTCATTCTGAGCACCTTCTTCCATTGACAGGACTGATCTGTGTACCAGACGAATACATAACCAGTCTGTAGGAGCCAGAATTATTGTTGGTTGGTAGGGGATCAAATACTTATTTTACTCACTGAACTGCAACTCCATTTATAACATTTGTATCATGTGGTGTTTTCTGGACTTTTGGTTTATATTCTGTCTCTATCATTTAAAATACACTTCATTTCTTTGTAAGTGGCTGGCTGTGCCGGGCAGTTATGATGAGCTCTCTGTATAAGGACCATCATCCTTCCTCCGGGCAGTGATGATGATCTCTCTGTATAAGGACCATCACCCTTCCTCCCCCATACATTGGCTGGCCTGGCAGTGATGATGATCTCTCTGTATAAGGACCATCACCCTTCCTCCCCCATACATTGGCTGGCCCGGCAGTGATGATGAGCTCTCTGTATAAGGACCATCACCCTTCCTCCCCCCCATACATTGGCTGGCCCGGCAGTGATGATGATCTCTCTGTATAAGGACCATCACCCTTCCTCCCCCATACATTGGCTGGCCCGGCAGTGATGATGATCTCTCTGTATAAGGACCATCACCCTTCCTCCCCCCATACATTGGCCGGGCACTGATGATGATCTCTCTGTATAAGGACCATCACCCTTCCTCCCCCCATACATTGGCCGGGCACTGATGATGATCTCTCTGTATAAGGACCATCACTCTTCCTCCCCCATACATTGGCTGGCCGGGCAGTGATGATGATCTCTCTGTATAAGGACCATCACCCTTCCTCCCCATACATTGGCTGGCCGGCAGTGATGATGATCTCTCTGTATAAGGACCATCACCCTTCCTCCCCCATAGATTAGCCTGGCAGTGATGATGATCTCTCTGTATAAGGACCATCACCCTTCCTCCCCCATACATTGGCTGGCCGGGCAGTGATGATGATCTCTCTGTATAAGGACCATCACCCTTCCTCCCCCATAGATTAGCCTGGCAGTGATGATGATCTCTCTGTATAAGGACCATCACCCTTCCTCCCCCCATACATTGGCCGGGCACTGATGATGATCTCTCTGTATAAGGACCATCACCCTTCCTCCCCCCATACATTGGCCGGGCACTGATGATGATCTCTCTGTATAAGGACCATCACTCTTCCTCCCCCATACATTGGCTGGCCGGGCAGTGATGAAGATCTCTCTGTATAAGGACCATCACCCTTCCTCCCCCATACATTGGCTGGCCGGGCAGTGATGATGATCTCTCTGTATAAGGACCATCACCCTTCCTCCCCCATAGATTAGCCTGGCAGTGATGATGATCTCTCTGTATAAGGACCATCACCCTTCCTCCCCCATACATTGGCTGGCCGGGCAGTGATGATGATCTCTCTGTATAAGGACCATCACCCTTCCTCCCCCATAGATTAGCCTGGCAGTGATGAAGATCTCTCTGTATAAGGCCATCACCCTTCCTCCCCCCTACATTGGCCTGGCAGTGATGATGATCTCTCTGTATAAGGACCATCACCCTTCCTCCCCCATACATTGGCCGGGCCTGGCAGTGATGATGATCTCTCTGTATAAGGACCATCACCCTTCCTCCCCCATACATTGGCTGGCCTGGCAGTGATGATGATCTCTCTGTATAAGGACTATCACCCTTCCTCCCCCATACATTGGCTGGCCCGGCAGTGATGATGATCTCTCTGTATAAGGACCATCACCCTTCCTCCCCCCATACATTGGCTGGCCCGGCAGTGATGATGATCTCTCTGTATAAGGACCATCACCCTTCCTCCCCCCATACATTGGCTGGCCCGGCAGTGATGATGATCTCTCTGTATAAGGACCATCACCCTTCCTCCCCCCATACATTGGCCGGGCACTGATGATGATCTCTCTGTATAAGGACCATCACTCTTCCTCCCCCCATACATTGGCTGGCCGGGCAGTGATGATGATCTCTCTGTATAAGGACCATCACTCTTCCTCCCCCCATACATTGGCTGGCCGGCAGTGATGATGATCTCTCTGTATAAGGACCATCACCCTTCCTCCCCCCATACATTGGCTGGCCGGGCAGTGATGATGATCTCTCTGTATAAGGACCATCACCCTTCCTCCCCCATAGATTAGCCTGGCAGTGATGATGATCTCTCTGTATAAGGACCATCACCCTTCCTCCCCCATACATTGGCCTGGCAGTGATGATGATCTCTCTGTATAAGGACCATCACCCTTCCTCCCCCCCATACATTGGCCGGGCACTGATGATGATCTCTCTGTATAAGGACCATCACCCTTCCTCCCCCATACATTGGCCGGGCAGTGATGATGATCTCTCTGTATAAGGACCATCACCCTTCCTCCCCCATACATTGGCCTGGGGCAGTGATGATGATCTCTCTGTATAAGGACCATCACCCTTCCTCCCCCATAGATTGGCCTGGCAGTGATGATGATCTCTCTGTATAAGGACCATCACCCTTCCTCCCCCCATACATTGGCCGGCAGTGATGATGATCTCTCTGTATAAGGACCATCACCCTTCCTCCCCCCATACATTGGCTGGCCGGGCAGTGATGATGATCTCTCTGTATAAGGACCATCACCCTTCCTCCCCCATAGATTACAGTGATGATGATGGGACCGGGGCAGTGATGATGATCTCTCTGTATAAGGACCATCACCCTTCCTCCCCCATACATTGGCCGGGGGGCACTGATGATGATCTCTCTGGGACCATCACCCTTCCTCCCCCCATACATTGGCCGGGCATGATGATGATGATCTCTCTGTATAAGGACCATCACCCTTCCTCCCCCATACATTGGCTGGCCGGGCAGTGATGATGATCTCTCTGTATAAGGACCATCACCCTTCCTCCCCCATAGATTAGCCTGGCAATGATGATGATCTCTCTGTATAAGGACCATCACCCTTCCTCCCCCCTACATTGGCCTGGCAGTGATGATGATCTCTCTGTATAAGCCATCACCCTTCCTCCCCCCTACATTGGCTGGCCAGGCACTGATGAGCTCTCTGTATAAGGACCACCATCCTATGAGCTCTCAGTGCTGCAGGGGAGAGCGCTCTGCCAGTGATGGGGGAGGGGGCGGAGCCCTCTGATGACAGAGGGGCGGGGCGTTGTCCTGGTCCCCCTGCAGTACCCCCGAGCCTCGTGTAGGTGTCGCTGTGGCGGCGGTTGCGGGCGCTGCCTGTCCCCGC